TAGAGCGCTTGCCTTGAGCTAAAGAGCTGAGGGACAGTGCCCAGGCCCAGAGTTCAAGCCCCATGATTGACGAAAGAAAGAAAGAAAGAACGAAAGAAAGGAAAGAAGGAAGGAAGGGAGGAAAGAAGGGAAAGAGAAAAAGAGAAAGGAAGGGAGGGAGGAAGAAAGGAAGGAAGGAAGAGAAGAAAAAAGGGGTGGAGAAAAAAAAAGAAAAAATCTAGTCCTGCCTCCCAACACCCCCCTGCCTTTCCAACACATCAAACAAGGGGACATCTGCATTTGAGAAATTATTCCCCATTTTGGAATTCCTACCACTATACAGTCTGATAATGGTACCGAATTTACCTCCCTGGTTACCCAGTTAATTTCTAAAGCTCTCAACATCACCTGGCATTTTCCTATCCCTTACCATCCCCAGTCTTCAGGCAAGGTGGAGAGAACTACCTGCTCCTTAAAAAATATACCAACCAAATTAACTCTAGAGCTTCACTGGGACTTGGGTAAAATGACTCCCCCTTGCCCTCCCACACCTTTGCGTTCTTCAAAAAACAAAAACAAAAAAACCTTTAACTTATCCCCTTTTGAAAAATGTATGGGCGTCCTATGGTTCCCCCTGGGATTCTTCCCCAACCTCCCATAATCCCCTTCCACCTCCTTCCCCTTCTCCTCAGCCATCTTGGAGCAGCTCTCTGGAAATATGTAGATTCTACAGCCTCCTCTCCAGAAGTGACTAGCAAGGGCCCTTTTGAAGTTGGGGACCTAGTATATCTAGCTTCATCTCACCCTACATTCCCTGGCTTTTCAGGGGACTACAGCCTGAATGGACAGGCCCGTAGAAGGTTGAGGTAATTCTGACCACCCCCACAGTAGTTAAATGAAGAGAAATAGCAGCCTGGATTCACATTAGCCAAATTGGCCCTACAAACCAACTTCTTATAAGGCAATTCCTACAGGACCTCTTACAGTTTACCTGACAATAGACCTGTCTCCTCGGGACTGCAACACACCTGCTCTGGCTACTATTCTAGAGGACAGACTAGTAGAATACAGTCATGACTTTTTACCAACCAATGAGTAACCTCCCTCTTTCCTGACAATGTCTTCCTCATGCCTGTTGGCTGATCTTACAGACCATGAACTGAAAGATGCCTTTCTGGCTCATTTTTTTTTTAATTTTTTCTGGCTCATTTTTATCTCTCCCTCTTTTTTATTTTTTGTCAATCATGGGACTTGAACTTAGGGCCTGGGTGCTCACTGTGCCTCAGCTCTTCAGCTCAAAGCTAGTGTTCTACCACTTGGGCCACAGCGCCATTTCCGGTTTTCTGGTGGTTTATTGAAGAGTCTCAGGGACTTTCCTGCAGGGGGCTGTCTTTGAACCGTGATCCTCAGATCTCAGCCTCTTGAGTAGCTAGGATTACAGTGAGTCCCCAGTGCCTGGCTTTTTTTTTTTTTTTTTTT